TCTCCTTTTTTGAAGACCTGAAGGAAGCCTATCATGTTTGCCAAAAAGACTGGAGGAAAGTTGACTGTCCGGTGACAGTAACTGTTAAGTTTTATGGTCTCATATTTGTTCCTTCCTGTTCTTCACTCTGATTTATTTTACACTTGCATTTTAATAGCCATCTTTGGAGGGGATGTGGTGGGGTATAAATAATTACTGTTTTGCTTTGTTTTTCCTTTGGAGACTCACATTTGCCTGGGGCGCTCCTGGGAGGTCTTGAACCTGCAGGGACCTCCGGGATCCTGTTTCCTGAGTGCCCCTCTGTACTGGGAGGCTCATTTTCTGGCAGGATCCAGAATTTCCAGCCAGTAGCCCCGAGGGAGCAACACCTTGGCCGATGGCCGCTTCTTTAAGTTTGTCCTGAACCCCAGCCTGGGCCCAGTGCCGTGGACCCCTTGGCGATCTTTAAATCCCTCCACAGCGCTTTTCTGCCTCATGCCACTGGAGGTGCTTCTTCCTTTTAGGCTCCAAAGGCCCCCCCAGAACTCCTACTTCTAGGTTTTGCCCTTCACTGAGGGACCTGGGAGGTTGGCAGAGAAGGGAACGGCCGCCAGTCCTGAACCTCCCACCTGGGAGGTGGGGGTGGTAACGTCTGCCTCAGAGAGTCCTGGGAGAATTAACAGGCTCAGACGTGGACACTCGTAGTCACTCTGCACCTGTCGCCAGGGGCTCTTGGTTCTCTCTGTTTCCCTCCTGCTTCCTCAGGCCTGGAGCACAGTTGTGGAAGTCACTGCCTGCCTCCTCACGCAGTTGCTGAACAGCTGCCAGAGCCCCTGGACTCTGCCCCCACTGCCTTTTATTGCCTTCTGGTGGATTTTGGCCTCACCTCCCCCCCCCCCCCCCACCGCCACCAGCAACTAAACTTCTTTCTTTCTCTCTTCCTCTCTCTCGACAAGCCTCCAGGTCTTCCTTATCCCTTAACTTTTGGGGAAATAATCTCCCTTCCCTTCTCTTTCCCTTCCTGCTGCCTCCTGGGCCTCCGAGCTACAGGAGCCTTCCCCCACGAGCCCTGGCTTACCGTCCCTCTCCTGGGTTCTCTCCCACTCCCGTGCTGCCCCCAGCGTGGGCCTGCATCCTTCCCTGAACAGTCTCCTGTCACACTCCCGTCCCGCTACAGTCCATCACCTGTAACTGTTTCCTCCTCAGTGATTCTCCCCCTCGGTCTGCTAACAGCTGTGGGCATCTGTCTTGCAAACCCCTTACTTGAGCTCTCCTCAGCCCTCGGCTCAGAGCTGTCATCTGTCACGCTACGGTTCTAGAGAAGAGGGGCTTCCCTGTCTCTCCCTTCTCTGCTGAGCCTCCCAGAGCCATCTTCCTGGCCAAACTAGACGCATCTTCCTCTGTCCTCACCCTTCTGGGCCTTTGCAGCAGGTCAGTGTCCTGGTTTTCTCCATACCTCCCCTAACGAAGTGGAGCGGGGCGGCCTTCCCAGGGCATGGTTCTCCTCATTCTTCATGCTCTTCTCCTCGGTGAGCTCATTTGTCCTGTGGCTTCAGCTGGCATCACCCAGTCTCCACACCTGTATCTGCAAACTCCCCTGGACTCTAGGGGTACCTAGGGATGTTAATAGTACCCGCCTCATCAGGTGGTAGTGAGGATGAGATGAGATAACGCTATAAAAATGCTCCAGACTTACTTTTGTTAAGTGCAATACAGACGTTCGCTGTGGTCACAATATTATAACGGGCCCTGTGTGACTGCTCCCTGTCTGCCTCGCCACCTGAGCTCTTAACCCGTCCCGTTGCCTCCCCGCGTGTCCACCTCAGTGCTCTCGATTCTTCCAGCGCTCCCTTCCTCTTTCTTAGCTCCTGCCTTTTCTCATTAGTGGTCCCTGGCTAGGAGAGCTGCACTTCCTCTCCCGCCTCGTCCCCACCCTGCCTCACTCTGACCTCCCTCTCAGCTCTCAGATCTCAGCTCAGCGTCTCTTGCTCTGGAGAATTTCCTCAACCCTCCCAGTCTGGGCTGTGACCACTGCCGTGCACCCCGTGCCAGCATGCTGTCCTTCCCCATTGCAGTGACACTGACCACAGGGACAGGGCTTGTTCATTTGTCCCCCACGAGCCTATAATGAGGTCAGGTACTGTCATGCTGTCCAGCCTAGGGCTGTGATAATACAGTCTGAACGAATGCATGGGCCCACCCCATCATTCCAAGACCACCCCTCCCCCGGCACTCAAACCTACGTGTTCACAAACACACACTCACTGTCACCCCGACGGAGTGGGTCTTTTCTGGGGACGCCCCTAAAGGTCTTGGAGACATGGAATGGCTGCTGTAGCTGAAAGATGGAGACCGGGGCCTTAAGAAGGAGGGCCGCACAGCGCCGCACGGCAGGCGGGAGGCACCGACTGTGCTTTCACTGCATTGTAGGCCAGCTCCAAGGGCCTACAGGCCGCCTTGTTCAGCTTCCTTGTTTAGAAACGAGGAGTCCACATCCCAGAGGTGAGGCGACCAAGGTCACATGCAGGTGGATGCAGAGCCAGGAAGAGAAGCTGGGCCATCGCTCCCTGTGTAATTGCTTCCCGTCGCAGTGAAAGTTTAGCCGTGTCCTCAGTGAGGTCCTGGCCTCTGCCCAGCGGGCGTGAACAGAACAGTTTCCCCCAAGAGGCACATCGTGGTCCCGTGGCCCAGCCGTGCTGACGACCTCTGTAGGGGTGTTGGCTGATTCACAGCCGTGCTCGGAGTGGGGCTGTGAGGCTGCATTCATTACCCGTGGACCTGGTGCTCCTAGAGCAGTTAGAGGAATTGTCCAGGGCCCTCTGTGCAGCATGTGATTCTCGAGGGCCCGGGGCCAGGCGGGGGCTTGGAGCCGAGGGCGGAGTTTTATGTGCTCTGCCTGCTGACCTGTGCACGGCTGGCATGTTTTCCCCTGCTGTGTACAAGGATGCCCTAAGGAGGCCAGCTGCCTCCCGGATCTTGGTTTTTACGCGACAGCTGTATGTAGACCCTAAGTCTGTTCGAAGCCTTTTCACTGAGTTAGTCTAGGGAGCCAGAGCAGGTGAGGTAGTGGGCCATGAGTAGGCACGGCCTCTGTCCTGACCCTCCTTCCTCCCGAGATGTGGATAACTGCCCCGGACCTCCGTGTAGTCTGCTGTAGACGTCGGAACCCCTGTGACTTAGAAGCCTGCCAGTCAGAAATGCAAAACTGTGAGCTTTCTTCTGGGCCACACAGGTTCACCCTCCTCTGTGGGCAGGGCCTCAGCTTCCTCCTGTGGTACCGAGCTCTCCACGTCCCAGCCCTGCCCATTGCCAGCCTCGTTCCTTACCACTCCCTGTCACCCACTCTGGGCCAGCCGCACCACTCTGCTTGTCATTCCGTGCATACGCTGTGGTCGGGACAGTGGGAGACGCAAGCCTAGCCTGTCGTGGTGGTGGCGTCTCCTCTCATTATTCCTCAGGTCTTGCCCTCCAGGTGGATGGCAGGGAAGGCAGGGTGAGCTTATGTTTTACTCACGAGGGTGCTTGTACAGGATTTGGATTTGTGAAAATCAAGATCAAGGCTGGTCAGGGTGAGACTGTTACACGTGCTCCCCAGGCATCCAGGGACTCCTGTGTGCACACCTCTTACCTCTGTCGGACCCGGCCTTAAGAAGGAACGGGCAGTTTTATTTTCCTGGCTCACCTTCTTAGTTCTCTGGGCTTCTTCAGGTTGCCCTCTGCTGGACGGTCCTGGGAACAGGGTCTGGGGCCTCTTCCTCTGAAGCGCATTTCACCGTTGCTACGGCCCACTGGGGATGGGGAATGGAGACACCGATAGGCAGACGACAGGGTTTCTTTCCAGATGCCGCTCAGCTAGGCTCATTTCCTATTAATATAGAAGAAATCCTTGGTGAGGCTTAGCCTTTGGCAGGACACCTGGAGTGTTCTTGCTGACTTCTGTTTTTGGCATAAGAAGGGAGAAATCTAGCAGCATCTGAGATATGCTGACTGCAGAAGCCTTTACTAAAGCTCGAACTTGTAATGCAGCAGCCAGCAGCTCAGGGGAGTACTAGCTTCCCCTGTTACTTCTTGTGTAGATCCCTGGCAAGTTGGGTGACTGACTCATCCCAGTTTGCCTGGGACTCCCTCAGTTTTAGCGTTCAGAGTCACATGGCCTGAGCACATCCTCAGTCCTGGGCAGGCTGGGATGGTTGGTCATGATCCAAGTTGATTAACTTCTTCAAGCCCTGATGTCCTCAGGAGAGATGATATTACCTGCGTCATAGGCTTGTTGAGGGGATATCGTAGGATAGCACAGGCGGAGTGCTGAGCAGGTGTAGCGGTTCCCTAGGGCTGCTGTAACAATTATCAGTACCAGAAACTAGATGGCCTAGAACAACAAAAATGTGTTGTCTCAAGCTCTGGAGGCCAAAAGCCTGAAAGCAAAGTGTCAGCAGGGTCGTACTCCCTCCAGACCTGTCGGAGAATCCTTCCTTGCTTCTTCCTAGCTTCTGGTAGTTTGCCGGCAATCTTTGGTGCTCCTTCACTTGTAGATGCCTCACTCCAGTCCTCTGTTTTCACGTGGCATTCTCCCTGTGTCTCTGTCTTGCCTCTGTGCATGTCTGTCTCTGCATTCAAACTTCCCCTTTTTATAAGGACACCCGTCATACTGGATTCGAGCCCGCCCTAATGACCTCAGTTTAACTTGATTACCTCTGTGAAGATCCTTTTTCCAGATAAGGTCACATCTGAGGTTCTAGGGGTTAGGACTTTAATATATCTTTTTGGAGGGGACAGAATTCAACCCATAACGGCAGGGTTAACTTTGACTATTATTGGTATTTGTATCATTATTGTTGCAATCATTGAGAACTCAAGAATATCTAAGGGACAGCTCCAGTATTCAAGAGGAGAAGGCAGGAGGCCCCCGTCATAAAGAGGAGCTGACTTGGTTGTTGGAATTCATACCTGCGAACCATTTCAGCACAAAGGCTATAGGAACACCCCCTCTAACCTCTGGACTTTTGCACTGTGTGGTGTAGATGGAGCAGATGCGGAACGAGCTACTTCAGGAGCGAGCCGTGAAGCAAGACTTAGAGTGTGACAAGATTTCCCTGGAGAGACAGGTGAGGGCAGCTGGCCCCATGAACCGCCCCCCCCCCCGCCCCGCCATGGCTTTGGACTAGAGCCCCTTGGTTGAGCCTTCTTTGCACAGCACCCCCAAGAACTCTGCAGAGTAACTCACCTGAGAGGTACAGGTGTTTCTAAGGCCTTTTCCAGAGAGGTTATTCCCACAATATTAAGTGTGCTTGTGAGTTTAGCAGCTGGGGAGAGGTAGAATTGCAAGTGTTGTTTCTAGATCCTAAAGAGGGCTAAATTCGAATGAAAGGAGAATAATAAAGAACCAGTGTCCTCAGATGCAGGAGTTGCTAACAAACCTTACTTGAATCGCTATTTCTTTTACATGCCATTCATGTAAGTTCTTCACTGAATATGATGTATGATATTGCTGAAGGAGCCTATTTCTCCTGTCCCGCCCCAGTAGGTTTATTTATTTATTTATTTATTTTGGCCGTGCCGCACAGCACGTGGGATCTCAGTTCCCCGACCAGGGCTCAAACCCACACCCCCTGCAATGGAAGCGTAGAGTCTTAACCACTGGGCCTCCAGGGAAGTCCCCCGCCCCAATAGGTTTATAAAAGGCCAAGGTCAACCTCATTTGTCTGACATCCAGTAGCCTTAGGACATGCAAAGATTTCACTTAGGCGTATAAGCAATGTGATAGAATCTCTTCTTTTGGCTTGCCAGGACATGAGTGCAAAGCTTTTCCCTGGATACATCCCAAGGTCTCCTGGGGCCACACATCCTAAGGTGGAAAGCAGGCTTACCCCAGTCACCGACCAAACACTGCCCTGCCCTGTGCTCTGCTCTGCTCTGCACAGAGGGTGCGGCAGACACAGCCCCTCACGGCCTCCCTGTCTGATTCCAGAACAAGGACTTAAAGAGCCGGATTATCCACCTGGAAGGTTCCTACAGGTCCAGCAAAGAGGGGCTGGTGGTGCAGCTGGAGGCCAGGATCGCAGAGCTGGAGGACCGTCTGGAGAGCGAGGAGAGGTGAGCTGGGCCCAGCCGTGGTGCAGAGGCCCTGGTGGGCAGTGGGCATCACATTACAAAGTGCTTTCACACTTGTATCTCTTCCTATCCTCGAAAGCCTGTGAGGAAGGCAGAGCAAGTACAACCTTGCTGGAAAATTGTTTCCATTTTATAGATGAGAAAACTGAGACCCACCAAAGTAAATGACTTGAGGAAGGTAGCCTGGCAGAATATTGATGTAACAGGACTAAAACCTGGGACTCCCCACTGCTCAGCTCTTAGCTGCTCCTTTCCCCATGCCTTAAATAGGACAGGCTGCCTTGTAAGCTACTGAGTTTGAGCTGGAATAGAGGTAAGGTGGCTGTCTCTGCTCTGGGGGGGCCAGGTATATTCAAGCGGAGACTGAGTGGCCATCTGTCAGAGATGGGCATGTGGGTGGAAGGGACACAGGATCAGATGACTACATGTGATTCTCTACAGCTTGTTCTCAGACCACAGCCTGAGGGCCAGTACCGGGTTAAGCTTGACCAGCCTCAGTTCTTTTTTTTAATTTTTATTTTTGGCTGCATTGGGTCTCTGCTGCTGCGTGCGGGCTTTCTCTAATTGCGGCGAGCGGGGGCCACTCGTCGCGGTGGCCTCTCTTGTTGCGGAGCAGGGGCTCTAGGCACACGGGCTTCAGCAGTTGTGGCACGCAGGTTCAGTAGTCGTGGCTTGCGGGCTCTAGAGTGAGGGCTCAGTAGTTGTGGCTCATGGCTCCAGAGCACGGGCTCAGTAGTTGTGGCTCGTGGGCTCAGTAGTTGTGGTGCATGGGCTTAGCTGCTCCATGGCATGTGAGATCCTCCCGGACCAGGGCTCGAACCCGCGTCGCCTGCCTTGGCAGGCGGATTCTTAACCACTGCGCCACCAGGGAGGTCCCTAGCTTCAGTTCTTACTCATGGCCCCTCACCTTCCTGGAAGCAGTGTGGGTGTGTGTGCATAGAGCACTTTACGTTATCCATTTTCAGTAAGACTTTTGGGACTGGGCCTTTTTGCTCCAGGGCAGCCTGGAGTAAACTCCAAATATTCACAGCCTGGCAGTCTATGACCCACTGCCTTACCAAGTAAAGCCCAGGACTGGGAGTACTCAGGGCAGGTCTGGCTCCGGCTCAGCCTCTCGCTGGCTCCGCAGCCTGGGGCAAAGTCCCTCCCCCTCTCAGAGCCCCTGTTTCCTCATCTGTCCAACGAGCAGCGCTGTCCTGCTGTACACTTGTGAGTCTCTCTGACCCTGCGTCCACCAGACAGCCCTGGGCTGGCCTCGCAGGTGGCTGGGATGAGACAGTCCTCTGTTCTGCTTCCCCCGCTCTTCCAGGGACCGGGCCAGCCTCCAGGTCAGCAACCGCCGGCTGGAGCGGAAGGTGAAAGAGCTAGTGATGCAGGTAGACGATGAGCACCTGTCGCTGACTGATCAGAAGGACCAGGTGCGGGACGCTCTGCGAGCACTTTTGAGATTTAATGTCTCGGGCTGGGGAAGCGAGAGGGAGGGGAGGCCTCGGCGGGCAGGCAAGGGGTGAAGTTGAGTGGACTGAGTCCGCCGTTTCCACTCCACCCCTTACGTCATGGAATGGGGCCTTTAGAGCCCACTTTAGTAGGGGATTTCGGCAAACTTCAGACCCTGAAGTTGGCTTTTAAAGAGTAGAATTTTCAGTCTTAGAGCCTCATCTCCACTTTCCCGTGAGGCTGGTTGCCCCCTTTGCCGTACCCTGGTTGCTGGGAGAGAAGGGGGCTGGACCACTGGCCTCTCTGTGCTGGGCTGGGCGACCCGCCGGCTCACGGCCTGCCTTCCCCCTGCAGCTGAGCTTGCGCCTGAAAGCAATGAAGCGACAGGTGGAGGAGGCTGAGGAGGAAATAGACAGACTGGAAAGTTCTAAGAAGAAGCTGCAGAGGGAGCTGGAGGAACAGATGGACGTGAATGAGCAGCTGCAGGGGCAGCTAAATTCCATGAAGAAGGACTTAAGGTGGGCAAGTGCGGCAAACCCCCCGGGGCCGTGATGGCCCTGACGTTGGAGGGGAGCCTGATGCTTTCAGAGCGCTCCCACTCCTTTGTCTCAAGCTGATCCCTTGTTGTCACCTTTGGGGTCATCCCACCCTAGGAGTGAGAGCGGCTGTATCCACTCCGGTCGCCCCACGTGATCAGTAGGGTGTCACATGTGTCATCCTCATACCATTGCCCTGGTGTCGGCCGGGCAGGTATCGTCCCTGTCGTCCTGAGGCTCAGAGCAGGTCAGACTAGCTCACACCACTGTGTAGGGACCAGCTCCTGGACCAGCCCTTAGGGACTCCTGGGTTAGGGAGAAATGAGGTAAAGCTGTGGCTTGTGTTCTCAGGAGGACGAGGATGTCCCAAACCTGGTCTCCGGAGAGAGCTGCTCTCTTGAGCTCCCCTGCCACGGCCCTAAGGATGGGGGATTAGGTGCGGGGTTGCTTTCCCTGCCTCAGGGTCACTACCTGGGGCATTGGAGTGAGGGGGTGAGTTTAAGTTCACACCCATTCGTGGAGCTGGGCCTTTCTTGGAGGCCGACTGTGACCTGGGGCTTTTTGCTGGCTGCCCAGGTAGTTCTCTTATCAATGCCCAGAAGACTGGAGCCTGTTGAGAATCCTGTAAACAGGGCATGTCTATCGAGAACCCAGCCCCAGGCTGGCATTAGGGGGCACCAAAAAATCTCAATAATCAAGATGCAATATTAAAATAAAAATTAATGCAAACAGCCCATGGTGAACAAGATGATAAAATTTTAAATTAAGATAGGATTTATGGCAGCACCCTGCTGAGCCATGTTGGAGCTTGAGGCAGAAGGAAAAATCAGTGCTGTTGACCTTGCCCCAGCCCTGCCCAGCCCACCCTGTCAGCAGCAGCCTCCCGTGCTCTCAGGTGGGCAGTTTGTTCCCTGTTGCTGTAGGAACTGGCAGGTGCAGACGAGTTAAGTTCCTGTGCTTATATGCCACTCGCTGGGGTGGAGAGACAGGCGTCTAGAACCCCTTCGCCTCCAGATCGGAGGTGAGCCCCGGTCCAGGGCCAGGAAACATGCCACCTGTTGTTTTGCAGACTTAAGAAGCTGCCAAGCAAAGTGCTGGATGACGTGGACGGCGACGACGACGACGACGACCTCAGCACGGATGGGGGGAGCCTCTATGAGGCGCCGCTGAGCTACACCTTCGCCAAGGACAGCACCGCCGCCAGCCAGATCTGAGCCCACTTCCAGGGGCCTGCAGCCGCCCGCAGCGTGAGGAGAGGAAGGGAGCGCCATCACCTCCTCTTCGCGGACCAGATAATTCCTCCCTGTGACGTCATGTCCTCCTAGGATCTCTATGGCAGCACAGCTCTGGTAGCTTAGACAGCAGCTGTTGCAGGGTATGCGTTGAGACGCCTGCAGCCGCTTGGCAGGATGGAGCCTCCGTTCTGCACAGCTGTCTGCAGCACCCTCTGCATGGCTGCTCCTCTCTGCCCTCCGCCCCCCCGTCAAGAAAAGGGGTCCAAATGCTAGTTACTAGTTAGTAGCCATTGTGAAGGGGAGGGGAGGATGTGTAGGCTGTGCATATTTTAAATCAGACCTTCTCACAGACTGCTGCTCTTCCATTTTGGAATGTTGCAGAGGCTTCGTGGGGTGGCTTGTTTGTAAAGTTCACACATCTCTATTGAGTATTATTTTTAAAAATACAAAGCTACTAGATTTTTAAGTATAACTGAGCCAGAGGCAAGAGGGAGAAAGTAAAGACCACTCTGGGCATCAGATTTGGAAAAAGGAATTGTTGTGGTGATAAGGGAGAGTTAAGCCTAAGAAGAGAAGTTCAGGTGGTCTTGGTAAAGAACTTGTTGATGGAGGGAGGGAAAGTCAGAGGTCACTTGTATCCGTGGTCCTTGGTTGCTTATTTTATCTAGAATTTTGTTAAAATGTTTGAACCATGCTGAGACCAATACCAGTCACCAGCTGCCGTTTCTTTTGCACAGGTGGAGTGGGCAGACATGTACGTATGGTTTTTGACAAATGATGCTGGTTTCGGGGGCCGGGGGTGGAGCCCTCCTGTCGTGTCTTTTTGGTCCTTTCCTCCCGCCTCCAAACTACACTCTCTCCGTCCCTGGACGGCGTGGTTGCCAGGTGGGGACCGCGAGGGTTTGGGAGCAAGGTTCGTGGACTTAGGCTTGAGGAAGAGGCAGGTGATGTGTGCAGTAAGGTCACGGGGACGGGAAGAAGGGAGAGGAGATAAGCAGGCGTGTGTGAGCGTGGGTAGGAAGGAGGAGGTGGAAGAGGAAGAAGTTCTTGAAAGCTGCGGGGATGTGTAGGCAAGAGGCAGATTGGACAGGATCTCAGGTTTATGTCAGGAAAGGGAGGAAGGAAGCAGCAGTCAGACAGAGGCATTTCTGTGCAAACTGGAAGAATCCTGACTTCTGGGACAGAGGGACAGCGGCCGGCACCAGGCAGGAGGTAACTGGGGCTGGGTGAGGTCTGGGCAAGGCCATGTTGTTGGGATGGAATTTCAGGGAGGCACTGGGAGGATGCTGGGTATCCCGGCACTTCCTCTTGGCCTTCCTGGTGTCCCCTCCACTGTGATGGTCCCTAGGCACGCACAGAGGCCAGGTCCAATCGCAGCTGGTCAGGGCCGTGGCCAGGGAGGGAACCCTTCAAGTTGTGTGCATGTGATTGAGTGTTCAGCTGCCTCGCAGTGTCCCCACATATCCTGGTAGGTAAGAGGCCTGTGACCCCAGCGCTCCATGACAGTTGCCACAGGGAGCAGGGAATCTCAGTGCCCTACCTACGCCAGGTCACAGAGCGCACCCAGCAGGATTCAGAGTGATCAGCCCCATCTATGGGTAGGTGTTGTTGCCCCCCGCCACCATGGGTGAAGCCCCCAGAGCAGAAGAGCCAACCCCTCTTCTACCTCTGCTGGGTGGAGTGCTTCTTGCCTCTGCTTACCTATTTGGAGTATGGAGAGATTCCTCCCTTTAGCCGTTCATTCATTTAGCATGTATTTATTGGACATCCATGATATCCCAGTCTTTGGCACTGGGGACACAGCAGTAAATAAAGTAGATCAAAATCCCTCCCTTCCTGGAGCACTGTCAGGGGAGAGGGGGTGATCGACAACAGTCACACCAATGAACACAGAGGCTGAGCCCCTTCAGACCTAGCCCCGGAGCCCCTCTGTCCTCTTGGGGAGGCAGCAAGCCTGTGATTGGTTGGCTGGCTCATTGGAACCCACAGGGGTTCTTCGACTCTCATATGCTGTTGAGTTCCCCGCTGCTTCCACCGCCATTAGGTATTTGCCAAGAAGCCTGCCCAGCAATGCGTTCGCCTGCTCATCACTACAGATTAGAGATGGGAAAAGTTGGGGGCCCAAGAACTTTGGGAGCGAGTCAGCATCTGTCTTGGTTTGTGAGAAAGTTTCTGCCTCTCATTCTGGCCAGCTCCTTCTGGTAGCCATGAGGCAGGCTGCAAGAAACAAACTGCCTGTGAAAAGAGAACAGAGCTCACCATTCGGAAGATCTGCATCTTTACCCTAAAATTGGGACGTTAAAAATGTCAACAAATGCGCCCTCCTGCGCCGTAATGGGGCTGGCGGTGAACTGGATGCATGCGGTGCACCAGGATGGGAGGAACACGAGCCTGGGAGCTGAGAGGAGAGATGTTTTCAAGTCCCAGCTCATCTTACCGTGGTGACCTTGACAGGGGTGACCTTGAGAGGCCTGCACTCAGAGCGGCAGATGACGCGGAATGATTGAGGACCAGGGCTCAAGGTCCTTGCCAGCTCTGACACGCTGTCATTCTTTGATTTTATTATGTACACATATATATTTTTTTCTGTTTGTCGCTTTAAGAACTAACCCTACTCGAGAGTATTTTCTTTTAGCTAGTTTAAAAAGAAAAAAAAGTATTTAATAAACAAGTATGTGGCCAAATGCAGTGCTGAAGAGACAATCATCATATAGCTTTATGATTTTTTTTCCTGCCTCTGAGTGTCATCTGGCAATGCCGATTAGTCTTATTTTGTTGGGTTTCTGCTTTCGGGTATGGTTTGATTGCCTGGGTTTGTCACCGGGAGGAGACATTCTTAGGCAGCTACCTCCATGTAAGTGAACTCCTGGAGAAAGCAAGTTTGCCTTTCAATAAACGGTATCACCCAGCAGGAATCTTGACTCCCGTTATTTCGACTCCCTTGTTTTCTCCAGAGCTTGGCTCCGTGTCTGCCAAGAAACAGCCCAGGTGAATGGCTGGAAGCTACCCAAGGTAGGGGAACTTGGGGCGTTCCAGGCTGGGATCCGTGTCTGAAATAGAAGGGTGGGGAGGGGGTGAGTGGGGCGCACTGAGAGGATTAATGCCCCTGGATGGTTGTGATGTTCTGAGAAATCCAGACTGCCCATTTCCAGAAAATGGCAAAAGGGGAAGTGTGTTGATAACTGAGAATAAACAGGCACCCCCTGTTTTCTCCTTGTTCCAAAACTGAAATGGGTTCTCCTGCAATCACAGTTAGCGCATAATCTCACTTGATCTGCAGCAGGCTAACAGCAGGTACCCTGGTCCATTTTATATGAAACAGGAGTCCCTTCCACGTGGAAGGGACCTACACTGTTCATGGTCTTCAGTGCCATTCTCTGCCCTGTCCTCTGGAGGCCGATCCCTAAAGGCCCTGGGTTCCCCCCATGACCGATGACGACTCTGGTCGGGGTCAGCTTGTGGGAGCAGGTGGAGGTCAGCATTTTTCTGTTGTCACCCCTCTTTTGTGCAGCGTTTCCAGCGGTGACGCAGCCGGACAGGACTGCACAGGACGCACAGGACTTGGGCGACCATACCTCCTCCTTGTGTCTCTGGTTCTAAAGGTGGTCAGGGCGGCCTGCTGCTCTTCCTCTGCGCCCCTCGGCAACCCTGGTGGGTCCCCCCCGACACTGCCGCCCTCCAGGGCATTTCTTCATTAAACCCTTTCGGCCGCCGCAGGTGGCTGCTGCTTCCTGCCCGTACCTCTGACCACTGCCCCTTCAACGCCCCCAGTGATGTAAACATCTGGCCCATCCAGCTATCCTGCAGCCCTTGACTCCCTTTATTCTGACTAAACAGAGCATCTCAAATGTAGATGAGATTTTCTAAGTTTAATAAGTCCTCAAAGTCTTTGCATAAATTGTTTGCTTTTTTTTTTTTAAAAGAAAGGTCCGGATTTTTGGGGTGTAATTTTATCATTTGTAAGTAAAAGACACCCTTTTGGTCCTAGTTGCTTTTGAAACTGTATTAAAGCCTCTTTGGCCCCTGGGCCAGGGTCTTTGTGGTGAGCATAAGAGATCCTGAGGGGTTACCTGTCCCCTGCACCCGTGGGAGGGAAAGTGACTCAGGAGCTCAGAGCCAAAGGGAAAAAAAGTCCTTCCAGGCCGGCAGCTAGCTCCTTCCCCCACATTCTCGACATTCTTCCTTCTTTGAACTTGTGGATGGTTTCAGCAATCCTGTCTTTGTAGAAAGATAGTCATCAGTCAGAAAGTTTTCTGTTCTCAACTTTCAAATGACAGGAGAAAATGACTCGACAGCAAGTTCCTATCGGCAGCTGAACAGCCTCAAATCCAGCAATTCCAGGCTTTGTGGAGGGATCAGCAGGACTTGATCCTGCTCTCAGAACTGCACTGAAAGTCATCGTGGATGTTCACGTGTATGACCTGAGACCCAGCCTGTCTCCATCTGCAGAGCAAGATATGAGTGTGTGCCCCGTGCCGGGTTTGGTGAAGCTGGAAAGGGTGCAGTGCCCTTCCAAGAGACATTCAACAGTGACACCTATTCTGTGGCGGGAGCTTTGCAAGTTTCCTACCGCGAGGAATCTCACTTGGTCTCACAACAGTTGTCAACAACGCCCTGGGGATGGGGCACGTGATTCCAGAGATCTTCTGGGTAAACAAAATTAAACAGTTTTACAAGAAAGGCAGAAATGTTGGCAGGTAAGGAATCTGCGGCTTGGGTAGGCTGGGCATTTTCCCATAGGTCACATGTGGAGTAAGTAGCCAGCCCAAGAGCCTAACCTGCCAGCACGGGCCAGGTGCTGTTGCAGATACAAGGTTTAAGGCCCTGTCTGGGACCTTTATAAGCTTACAGTGTGATTACAAAAATGATTATCAAGCTAAGTGGAAATTAGATACAAATATTAAGTCCTTCGTATATTTATGGCACACCAAATTTGTCTGCCCTTGGGCTTTGCTAGCCCTCTGTCTATATAGCCAGTGCCACTGGTTTCCCCTGGTTTTCCACGTACAATTCAATAGCTAAGTGTGTTGAGCACTTACTGCTGTATATTGGGCATTGTTGTAAACCCTCACTTGTATCTACTCACTTGATTCCTCTGACCACCCTCTGAGCAGCTGCTCGTGACAGGCAGAGGGAGTTACTAACCTTCCCCAGGGCACATGGCAGCCCATGGAAGAGCCAGGACTGGAGTCTGGGTCTGCGTCTGGAGTTCACACTCGGAGCTGAGGAGCTCTGCTGCCTCCCACCACACCCACTGCCCTGGAGGACGACGGTCTTCCATTCGATCCTGTGTTAGGGCCTCCCAAGTCCTCCTGGTTCTTCGTCCTTCAGCTCTCCCCTTCATTTGTGAGTGTCTGTGCAACCCAACAGCCTGCTGCTTGCCTCCACTCTGAGTGCTTTAATCAAAGGCACAGAGAAATCAAAGTTAACTTCTGAAGCCACAGACTTGAACTGCAAGGAGGTGCTGAGAGTTGCCAAGGTTTAGAAGGTATTGGGAGTGGTCATTCTGTGCTAGCTGAGACTGTGAGGGAATGGAAACTGCATAACCAGAGGAAGCAGGGCAATAAAGAGAAAGGAAACTGAAAAGAGAAGCAGAGACACTGATAGAAAGAGTGGTTGAGTTTTAGAGCTTTCTTGTTTTCTGACAACTCTCAGTTGATCCGTGAGTATCCTTTGAAATGTTTTCTTGAGTTAACTTGAGTAGATCTCTAGTCTTTTCAAGCATATAGGTATTTTGGGGGCCATATTATGAATTACTTTCGATGCTGGGGCAACACGTTTTTAATTCTGTAGGCCAGGGGTACCTGGTAACTATTTCTGAGATGGAGAATAGTGTCATTAGAAGTGTGTTAAATGAAGATTAATCTAGAAGGAGTATGTAGGAGAGATGGAGAACCGTTGGCTACTGTGATCTTTGGATCTCTCGTTTTGCCATTGATGCCCCCTTGGTGCTGTGCTAACCTGACTTATCTGGGCCTGATCTCGTGGGGTGATCTTTGGGCCACCCCACCATCTTCCTGTGTGGAAGGTGGACTTGGGCGACATCAGCAAGTCCCTGGGTTTGGGTGAGTCTCAGGGAACATTTACCTTCCCAACCCCCAGGAGACTTTGGGATGAGAACCTTCTTCTGGAATGGTATGTAACCATAATAATCTTATTGTGTAATGCACCTTTCATATTAGTCTTACACTTAAAACTGCACTTGGAACCTGAAATCAGTAAGTTGTCCTCAGTGGGACACCATTGACTGTGGTCACTAATAAAAGCCCTCACCCCAGAGTAGCTCGTTCAAGAGTAGGGCGTGGTCGGGCTGCAGTCTGGAGACCCTGGACAGCAGTGGGCTGCCTTGTGGAGGTGGCACGTGTTTCTGCTAAGCTGGGTGGGCCTGGGCTCTGGAGCCCTGCCAGTGGGCACGGTCTGACCTTTGTGCAGGGAGGGAGAAGTTCTGTGGGGCAGAGCCAGCTTCAGGCCTGAGAGCTGTGTGCAGGTCATCTTGAAGGAAGGGGACCCCTCTGCCCAGCCAAGGCCCAGGAGTGGAAGGACTCAGCTGTGAAAGCTGGCTCCCCGCCTCCTTAACTTGGGGTGTCAGTTAGGGTGGGGCTTATGTATGCCGGATGGGAGAGGTGATAGGTACCTGCCTCGCCATCCACGTACCAGACGGAGGGCATTCCTTCTGAGCCCTACCCAGGGACTGCACGAAGACCAATAAGTTTTGCCCTGTGGATGGACCTTATCTGGGGGCAGTGGGAATGATTCTTAACATCTAAGATCCCTCAGCAGGGTAGCAGCTGCACTTGGGCAGACTCCTGTGGGCCAGGGATCTTTATCTGATTTCATCTGCATCCTGCAAGGTAGGTAGTGTTACCTCCTTTCACACGTTAGGGAACATGTACAGAACGAGACGTCATTTGTCTTAAGTCACCAGCTAGTCAACAGTGGGGCTGGGATGAAGTCCCCTGTCTGCTGCTCTACAGTCAGTTTCCCCATACCTTGGCCCTTCTCCCTCGCTGCCCCTCTAGAACAGCTCCCACTGACCCCCTCAGCTGAGGACAGTTAGGCGCAAGGGCTGGGAGGTTCGTCGGCGGTCACGGGGCCTGGCCTCTGGGTCACAAGTTTGCACTTGGACTCTGAGGCCTGCCAGGAGGGACGGCAGCCAGCCCCACCCCGCTCCTCTCTGCAAGCCCCCTCCCGCCGGCTGCAGGCCGCCAGCCTGGCTAACCTCGTTCCAACTGCCTCTGGCCTCTGGCCCTTCCAGGACAGGCTTGTTTCCTGGAAAGGACTCGGAGAGTAAGATAAACCAGGTGTCTCTAGTTAAATGCCCTCCTGCCTTTGAAAGTGCCAGGCTGGTAAGCCTTCCAGTCCAGCTCCTTGATTTGCCTGGTCCGTCTCTGGGATTGGCCGCCTGGCCTTTCATCAGGTGCCAGTCGTTCCCGGCCTGTCACTGGGAGTGAGTATGGCGTTCTTTGGAGACGGGCACAGTGCTCCCTACAGAGCTAGACAAGGAGACAGGATCTGAAAAAGATGGGTGACAGGGTCCCTCCAGGGCTCCTGGCACCTCTAGAAGGAGACAGTCCGTGTCCCTGTCCACTCTCCCTGGGCAGATGTATCCTGGCGTTTAGATAACGAAGAACTAGAAAACAGAACAGGCCTCCCCTCGACTTGCCTGCCGGCTTCTCCTGTGACCCAGGTATTGTTCCTGATTCACACGTGGCTTCCTAAACCAGCTTCATTTTCTGAAACAATTCACTCTACTACCACCTGCCTTTCATGGAAATTAAAAACAAAATTTTTTTTTGGTCTGTGTCATTGCTGCTGGATTCTAAAATCCTTCCAGTCTAGGCCCCATGGAAAGGTTAGGTGTGCCCAGTATAACCAGGTTAGTCCACCCCTGTGATGGGCAGAGGCGTGCAGGCAGGAAGCATCGAGCTCTCCCTCCTGGTCATCACATGGTCAGCACGTGGGAGGACTGCCACTGTATGTCCAGAGCTGCTTCCCAGATGTTAAGAGGCCAGGTGTGGAGTTAGTCCCTGTGACTTTACTACCAACCTCAGCAACAAAGATATTTAGGGAGCATCAAATATGGGGAAGACAGAAATAGGCAAGATAAAGCAGCGTGGCACTGGGTCTTAGAATTTCCATTTGAAGACTTTGGTTCATTTTGTTGAGAAATTTTTGTTCCCACCACCAAGAATTAATAGTGGTTCATATTTGGTCATATCTGCTTCACATTTTTAAATAAGAGAAAGAAAACGTTCCCCCTTTGTCTCTCATTCCCTGCCTCATTCCCTTTTCTCCTTCCCAAAGGCAACCACAATTCAGAGGATCCGCCAGTTTGTTGCATTAGCATCTGGGATAAATGAATGAATGGAGGTGAGACTATAAGAGAATTGTTTTAAATACTCTACGGGAAGTCAGGACCTTAATAGCTGCACTGGGGAGGGATGAGACCCCACAAGGGGGACATAATTGCCTAATGGTTTGAAGACTAAGCTGTTTCTAAAGGTGAACCCAGATAGAGGCAGAGCCTTGGCTAGGCTGAGTTGGGATGTCCAGGCTTGGGTGTCCTGAGCTTACCTTCCCTCCACGGTGGAGAAGAGACCTCATGCTACCACAGAGATATTCTTTCCCCTTCCTTACCCAGCATACTGCTGCCTTTTGTCCCTCAAATATGCTGAACAAATATTGAATAGTATTGATCTGAGGGAACACATAGTTCTTTGCCTGTTTGGGAAGGGGCATTTTGAGTTGCCTGTGGTGCTCGCATATCTAATTCCAGGCTCACAAAGACCAGGGTCTCACTGGCTTCCTCCCTTGGAGAACAAAGAGCACAGCATCCTCCGTCATCCCTGGGAACACCCAGCTCTGGCCTGGAATTGCCGTTGTTCCTTGGCTGCTGCCTTTATGGACCCTTGTGCTTGCAACCTGGATGGTCACATGGGTGAGGAGGGATGCTATGCACCTCATTCAGGGCCAACTGGGTGCTAGTGGCCATGTTTGTTTAGCCATGTTCTATTTGGACCCTTGATGATCAAAATGTGAACATCATTTGGTAAACTTTCCTTTTTTTTTTTTTTTCTTCTCCGTTTTGGATTTTATTTTAAAAGAGTTCAGTGACATGGATCTTATTTCATGAGATGCAGTAAGGTACAAGTCATGGAAGTTTTAAAGTTTGGGTAAACTTTCCTTTTAACTTCAACATTCCAGGAGCTGGAATCCTTACACACCAGGAGTAGCTCTTTGAACATTTGTCAATAGAGGCGTGCCTTATGGTGTTTGTTCTTTCTTACGTATACATTTCTTAGCCAGAAGTTTCTAAAAATAGGATCATACCTC